AAGAGTTTACTAAAAAAGAAGGAGTAGATTATGTGGAGACATATTCTCCTATAGTGAAATTTGTATTTATAAAGATAATACTAGCACTAGTAGTACAATATGACTTGGAGTTATTTTAGTTAAATGTCACGAAAGTTCTCTTAAATGGAGAATTAAAAGAAGATATGACTTGGAGTTATTTCAGTTAGATGTCAAGATAGTTCTCTTAAATAGAGAATTAAAGAAGATATTTATATAAACAATCAGAGGGATATGTTGTTAAAGATCAAGAAGAAAAAAGTATATAACTGGAAAAAATCACTGTATGGAATAAAACAATCATCTAGACAATAGTGCTTAATATTTCTCTAGGCAATTGTCCAAATTAGTTATGTAGCTAACAGACTTGATCACTATGTAGATGTTTGGAATAATGTGAGCAAATTTGTGATTTTATCTCTATGTGTAGATGATATTTTATTAGATATACAAATGATAAATAAAGCTAAATCTCGGCTTAATTCGCATTTTGAAATAAATGATATGGGTGAAGCATTATATATTTTGAGGATAAAAGATTCCAGGGATAAAAATTTTAGGCTTTTCAATTTATCTTAAGAAAAATATCTAGAGAATGCTCTTAAAAGATTTAAGGTGGGAAACTATAAACCAATGGAGACTCCTATTTGTAGGAGCATGCAGTAATCAAATAAAGAATGTCCAATTAATGATAAGAATAAGGTTAAAATGGAAAATATTTCATATAAACGCTATTGGGTATATTATGCATGTTATGCTTTGTACATGACCTTAGTTTAACAATTGGATACGTTAGTAGACTTCAAAGGAACCTAGGTATGACTCATTGGCAAGCAATTAAAATCATACTCGGATGTATTAAGGAACCAAACATTATAAATTATGTTATCAGGCTAATAACCTGGAATCTGATGTAAACTTCGCAGGAGATCCTGATGATAGAAAATTTACTTCTTGAAATACTTTCCTATTTGGAGGAGGTTATGTTTTTTGATTTAATAAGAAAAAAGAATGTGTGGCCGGTGCTCAATGGAAGTGGAACATATGTCTTGTAGTATAACTTCTACTTTTGCCATTTAGATAAGCTGCTTCATTAGAGATTTTAAGTTGGAAATAATAGACGAGTCAGTTCGGATATTTTATGATAACCAAGCTGCAATTTTGTTAATTAAAAACAAAACAATTAGCACTAAGGCAGATACATAGAAGTTGATTATTACTTGACTTCCAGTGATATTATAGTAAACTCCTTAACTAAGGGATTGACTTTTAAAATGTTCTCAAAGTATGTGACTATGATGGGACTTAGAGAAATGTAAATTTTTCCTTTAAAGAGGCAGCTTAATGCTACAAAGAATTAAAATCTTGTAACGGGGTCATGTTACAATGGGTAAAACATTATATGCGCAAAACCTTATGGTCAAAGAATATTCATGGATTTCGCCTTTTAGTCAAGTGGGAGATGTTGGAGTATGGACACAAAGGCCTCATAATTACTGTTCACTTCATGATGTCTTTCTTTGTTAATATATTTAATAATATAATTTATTTTCTAATGGTCTTATTTTCCTTAATTTCCTTGACCACCTTTCTGCTATATGATATTCCCTTTCCTTTTAAGCCACATATCAATAATGCTCAAACAATAATATATAGCTTAATATGCATTTTTTTAAGAGATAGAGAGAAAGAGAGAGATGAAGTGGATAATGAAGGCTTTACTGTTGAATAGGGCAGAGAGAAATCTTGGCCATTTGATATAAACCTGTCATATGTGGTAGGGGGATAAGCTCCAAAGTCTATAAATTGGGACTAGATACCCCATTGTGAAGTACACAACAAAATCTGAGACATCTCTATCCTCCTATCTGGTTATCCATACGCTTGACAACAAAATTCCTCTCTCCATATCCATTTTCTCTCTCTACTAGTTTCGATAAAATTATTATTTTTATTATTTTTCAACAAATGTAGGGGAGTAATGGCATACTCTCTTTTACACACTCTCTATCTCACACATGCACACATTTACACACATGTGTGTTACTAAAGTTTGACTCATATATGAAAGAGGGGCAAGCTTTCTATGCTTCCTCTACTACATAAAACTTATATACTTTCTCCTATTTAATCATTCATGATGAATGAAGGGCTGAGATGACCTCAATCACAATGTCATGTCTTTGCACTATTTTATTTTAATTTTTTTATAAAATATTTTGATATCAAAATTTGGGCGTCTACTTCTCTCTTAAACTTGCACTTTTAAAAAATATAAAAATAATATTCACAATAAAATAAAATGGTTTTAAGGAGTATTTTGGTCATTATAAAGTTTTAAGGGGTATTTTGGTCATTATATTTTATCAAAACACTTTTTTTTATATTTTTTAAATGCGACCCATTTAGAAAATGATACGCACCAAATTTCATATTCAAACAATTTGTAAAAAGACTTAAAAATAAAATATTATGAAGCATCAGATCTAGATCAAACGGCCAATGGCTCTCTTGATCTAAATTAGAGGACTGCATGGGGGAAATACATATTCTCTATGCTGCAGTGGAAGTATAGAAACCTCTCCCATTAATGAGCGGATATTGTTTATTTTTATGGGTGGCACGGTTGCCATGCTAAAGCCCATAAAATGTTTTCTTTGAGTGAGGGCTTACATGTTCCAATAAGGTTAGCTATGTTAAAGCCCATACAAATTTCCTTTTGAAAAAAAGAGGGGGAAGCATTAGTTTATAGATTAGCTTTATTTTGGTTTCCTAGATAAACATCCTTTGGTAAAGGGGTGGACGTTCAGTAAGATCACCTATTCGAGGGCCCACAAAAAAGTCGCTTTTAAAAAGAGGAGGGAGCATTCATGCCATATGATCCTTGGGACGAACTCCCTTTAAGAAAGAGGGTAGAATTTATTCTAGGTCTCTTGCATTGGAATTTAAAGCCTTCTGGGTCACTCACACGTAGCGCTACAATGATGCCCTCGGCCCCACCTCTAAAGAAGAAGAAAAAAAAAACCACAAGAAACTTCACTCCTATGGGAGTCTACTGTGCATCTACTCCCTTGGTCATAATACCTAGCTTATTTATTAATTTAATAAAAAAATTTAGGAAGATCATAGCAATGACTAGATGGTTATTCTTAAAAGAAAAAAAAAAATGAATTTTGAGTTATGTGACACATAGATTTAACCCTTCAAAAATTAATCAGTCTCTTTCGTATTAGTTTTTTAGTAGGTAGAGAGTTTATTTTGAAAATTTATTCTGAAATTATTCTATGGGTTACAGAGATTATATCTCCAAATTCAAAATCTAAAAAGCATCTCTAATTCAAAATCTAAAAATCATCCCTAACATATATTTTGATAGAGGGGCAGACATATAGCATATTCCTACAGACTAAGGAAATCTTTTAGCAAAAATGAAGAACAATCGTTTCATGTGGCCATGCACGGCATTTCTACAATCCGCACTCGAGACGTTCAGAGCATCCACCTTAAAAATGGCTGTAACAAGTAGTCCATCTAAAAACAATTATAACTAACCGTCCAAATGTTTATTTAATATAATTATTAGTTATAATTTCTATTATTATTATTATTATTTTCATATTCATGAACTCCATGTTAAAGATTATACATTCTCTAAAAATTAAGCTCATATTATATGGCAACAATATATTTGTTGTAAAGCCCGTATTTCAACATGAGTGGGCTTGGCGGCATGCTAACCACCGATGGTTAGAACTTCATCTGGGTTCGAATGCTACTGTCTCTATACAAATACGATCTAAATGCATGTCATTTATCAAATTATATTTTAAAAATATATTTACTATAAAGCCCACATTTCTACAAGAGCGGGCTTGGCTGCATGCTAACCGCATCCCCTAGAGAATGCGAGGGAAGGGTCATTACCCTGTACTATTGATGTGTCCTTAGCAAAAAAAATCCTCCACCCATCAGGGAAAGGTTTCTATACTTCCCCTACAACATAGAAGATTTACGCTTCCCCTACCATCCAACTGTTCAATTTTGATCAAGAGAGCCACTCACCGTTTGATCTTAGATCGGACGTCTCAAAGTATTTTGTTTTTTGTTTTTTTTATACAAATTTTATAGATATGAAATTTGGTACGTGCTATATTATCATTGGGGATCACCTATACAAAATATTAAAACGCTAAAATATAATAACCAAAATACTTTTTGAAACTTTTAGGGGTATTTTGGTCATTTTATTTTATTGAAAATATATATTTTTATATAATTCGCTAGTACGAGTTTAATGGAGGATTGGATCTACAAATTTTGGTGTCAAAATAGTTTATATTAAAAAAATTAAAAATAAAAGGGAAAAGTTTATATAGAGCCGATGCTCTAAACAATCAAATTTGAGCGTACCTAAAAGATTTAACGAGAAGAGGTTATTTTGATGCCCAAATATCCTCAAATTGATTATCTCGACATCAAGATGCATGGACATGAGAAAAAAAAATGGATTTCAAGTTTTGAAAATAATGTATTTTGTAATGCATTTTTGGACTGTCAATTTTTAAGATTTTCAAATTTTCATAGATCTATCTATCTACACAAATTTTGAAACTTTAAACTTTATAAATAAAAATGAAAATATATTTGAAGGCTATTACAAATATTTTCAGCATTAAAACTATATTTTGCGATAATATTTGAAAGTAGGTTCTAATTTGATTGTTTAGAGCCTAGGCTCTATGCAAACCACACCTAAAATAAAATAGTACAAAGACGTTAGATTGTGATCGAGAAAATCTTAACCCTGCATTCAAAATGGACGGCTGGACAAAGGGAAGTATATAAGTTTCATGTTGATGGGATGCATGGAAAGCTGGCCCTACACATCAAATAAACCTTTGCCGAATTCACATTAAATCCAACTTTTGGGCTCCCGTTCGTCTCTCTCCTCTCTCTTCCTTTCTCTCTCATATTCGTCTCTCTGACATTACCACTCTCTTTCTCTCCTCCACTCAACACACACTTCATTTGCATCCCCTCTCTTTCTCTCTCCCCATTGCCCTTTGTTTCTCTCTCTAAACAGCTGTCTTCATACACATTCCCTGTTTGTTTATTGTCGCTTCTGGTCGTGCAATCTCTGCAAACACTTTGCTCTCTCTCTCTCTCTCTTTGGGGTTGCGCTGAAGTGAAACATGGCCTCTCCGAATCCACCGAAGCCATGGAAGGTGGAGTATGCGAAATCATCGAGATCCTCCTGCAAAACCTGCAAGGGCAACATTGCTAAAGACGTGCTCCGTCTCGGCAAAATGGTCCAAGCCACTCAATTCGACGGCTTCATGCCTGTATTAACATCACTTTCTCTCTCTTCCTCTGCCTCAATAATTTCTCCTGTCTCCCTTTCTATCCTCGTCTTGTTTATGTTCTTATGAGATTTTCGACCGATACACGATAGCACTTTCAATGCTGGTTTTGGGGTTTCAAATTTCCCCTAAGCATCTGACTGAAAAAAATCTTCCAGAAATTGTTAACCTGTTATTTCTATGTGGTTTTGTACTGTTTATGAAAAGGTAGCTTCTGGAAATGTGATGTATATGAAAAGTTTTTATTGATAATTGGAAAATGTGCCAGTTTTTCTGCACTGACTAATGGGAAATGAGCTTTTTGAGAACAGTTTTAATGTTGAACTTCTTATTTTTGTTGCTTTATATTAATGTTTAGAATCATGTGGTTTTCAAAGTATTTGCCACTTTTGGTGTGGGATGTGTGTCCTAAAACCTCATGCTTCCCATGAACTTCCATTTCCGAAATTTAATTACTTTTTGAAACTTTTATCTATATGGGAATAATTTCAATGCTGAAAATGATGTTTTGAGGTGTTTTATTTGCCCTGGAAATGTTGCATGTTGTTTCATTGTACTTTGAATTTTCCTTTCTTATGTTAACTAATTTCTTTGAAGCCTTTCTAGTCTTTATGTGATTATTATTGTTATCTTTTAATAGTTGGAAAGCTTTCTGATTCAATGTGATTAAGTGTTCAATAACACCAACTTTGATTACCAAATGGAGCTTTCCTTTGTTATTGGATGTTCAATAAACTTGATTTGGGAGAAAATGTAAATGAATGACCCTGGTTTGCTACAAAACCACTAAAGATCTGCATAAACTCTTCTCACCATCACGGAGAAATTATTGTTAAAAGACAACCCAACTAAACCATTCATAGAAGCACCAGTAGATACGCAACACAAGATACTAAACTACCCCTTTATGACCACATTTACGTAAACATGGTATCTTGTTTTTGAATACTCTCCCTCCAATTAACATATTAAGATTTAAAAACAACAATTTCGAACAAAGAAATAAGTGATTGCTTTTCTTAGCATATATATATATATATATAGGAAGACACTACAAAATGCCTATACCTCATCACCTTCCAAAGTTCATCACATGGTCACAGTTGTCTGGTAGTATTTGAATTTTTATAATTACTGTACTAATTAGATTTATCTAAAATTTGGGGTGTGTGTACAAATGACCAAGTCGAACCAAAATAAAATATTTAAAAAATAATGGTCACAAAATAAAATGATGAAATTACCCTTGAAACTTTATAGGGGTAGTTTACGTAATTTTTATCATTCAAATTATATTTTTTATATTTTATTCATGTGCATCTCACTAAGGTATATACACCTACAAAATTTCATATCATTAAGATATGTAAAACAAATATTAAAATTCAAACACTATCAGACATCTGTGACCGTGTGATAAACTTTGAATGATGATAAAAGTGTAGGTGAAGAAGTACTGTAGAACTTCACCTATAGGCATTT